AAATGTGGAAAATGGAATCACTTTGCAAAAGTGTGCAGAGTTTACCGTGGAAAAACAGTACATACAGTGAGTGAAGATGAAATGTCAATCAAAGAGTCAAATGCTGATGAACTGTTTATTGATTCAGTGACACAGAAAAGTCAGATATCAGAGACAGAGCAAGCCTTTGCTGACATTGAGATAGGAAGACAAGGCACAGAGCTAAAATTCAAACTAGACACTGGTGCACAAGTAAACATTATTCCTCTGAGTAAGTACAGAAGCTTGACATCTGAGTGTGAGCTACAGCCCACCACGCGCAGACTGACTAGTTATGGTGGTGAACAGCTCCCAGTAAAAGGCACATGCACTCTCAAATGCAAATACAAGGAAAGGGACATGATGTTGGACTTTTACGTTGTTGACACTCGAGCACCTGCAGTGCTAGGTCTTAAAGCATGTTTAGACATGGACCTTATCAAGCTAGTTTTATCAGTGACAGCACCAGTAGAGATAGAGAATGTCATGGAGGAGTTTGCTGATGTTTTTACAGGAATAGGACTATTCCCAGGAGAATGTACCATTCACCTTAACCCAGACGCAACCCCTGTGATCTACCCACCGAGAAAGATTCCACTTGCTCTCCGCGCCCGTCTGAAGAAAGAGTTGGAGAGCATGGAGCAATCTGACATCGTCACCAAGGTTACAGAACCGACGGATTGGGTCAACGCGTTAGTGGTGGTGGAGAAACCACGGACAGGCAAGCTCAGAGTATGTCTCGACCCAAGAGACTTGAACAAGGCTATCAAACGCCCCCATTACCCCTTACCGACGCTAGATGGCATCACACACAAGCTAGCGGGCGCACGCTACTTCAGTGTCATGGACGCCAGATCAGGCTACTGGGCTATCAAGCTCACAGAAGAGTCATCTAAGCTCACAACGTTCAACACACCGTTTGGACGCTACAGGTTCCGTCGCCTGCCTTTTGGGATTATCTCAGCCCAAGACGAGTTTCAGCGAAAGATCGACGAGGTGTACGAAGGCCTCGACGGAGTCGTGGCAATTGTGGACGACATCCTTGTCTATGGTCGAACCAAAGAGGAACACGACAGAAACCTCAGCGCGATGCTGCAAAGGTCCCGCGAGAGAGGAGTCCGGCTCAACCCCGAGAAGAGCACAGTCGGCGCTACAGAGGTCAGCTACTTCGGGCATCTTCTCACAGCGAATGGAATCAAGCCAGATCCGCAGAAGATCTCAGCCATAAAGGAAATGGAGCCACCAAAGAACCGCGCAGAGCTGGAAACAGTGCTTGGCATGGTAAACTACTTAGCCAAGTTCGCACCCAGCCTCTCCAATGCTAATGCACCCCTGCGTCAGCTGCTAAAGCAGTCCAGTGAGTTCCTCTGGGACAACCAACACGACATCGCTTTCCAGAAAGTAAAAGACTTGATCACGAGAGAACCAGGACCAATCCTTGCCTACTACGACCCCAACAAAGAGCTCAGACTCCAGGTGGACGCGTCAAAGTATGGACTAGGGGCAGTGCTACTGCAAGAAGGAAAACCCATCGGCTACGCTTCCAAATCTCTCACAGACTGTGAAATCAACTACGCTCAAATCGAAAAGGAGCTGTACGCCATTCTGTTCGGATGTAAGCGTTTCCATCAGTATGTCTATGGACGACAAGTCATTGTGGAATCAGACCACAAGCCCCTCGAGTCAATCATGAGGAAACCATTAGCCGCAGCCCCGCCAAGGCTACAGAGAATGATCCTTCAACTACAAAAATACGACTTCACAATCACTCACCGTCCAGGCAAAGACATCCCTGTCGCAGACACACTCTCCAGGAAGTTTCTTACCTACAAGGACAGCAGCCTCAGTGAAGGCATGGACATGCAGGTGCACACTGTGTACAGCAACTTACCAGTTAGTGACACAAAACTGAAGGAGATCCGAGCAGAAACAGAAAAAGACACACAACTCACACAGCTGAGGAAAGTCATACAGTCAGGATGGCCTGAGGAGAGGAGAAAATGCCCTCAGAGCGTCTCAGAGTTCTGGAACCATCGTGACGAACTATCACAGATCAACGGAATCATTTTCAAAGGAGAGAAAATCATCATTCCTACCAGTCTCAGAGAAGAGTTTTTGACAAAGATCCATGCTGGACACATGGGCATGGAAAAGTGCAAACAGAGAGCACGGGACATTTTGTTTTGGCCCGGAATGTGCAAACAAATAGAGGACATGGTTGGTAAATGCCCCACCTGTCTTGAACGACGCCCCTCGAACACCAAAGAGCCCAATGTTACCTCACCGTATCCCAGACCGACCCTGGCAGGTCGTGGCAACCGATCTGTTCACGTGGAACAACGAGGACTACATTATAACAGTGGACTACTACAGCAGATACTTCGAACTCGACAAGCTTCACAGCACCACATCTGCAGCTGTGATACACAAGCTGAAAGCAGCCTTTGCCAGGCATGGCATTGTAGAGACTTTAATATCTGACAATGGGCCCTGTTACAAATCAAATGAGTTTGAATCCTTCACAAAAGCATGGGAGTTCACACACGTCACCACAAGCCCACATTACCCTCAAAGTAATGGCCTTGCTGAAAAATCTGTGCAGATCGCTAAATCACTCATGGACAAAGCAAAAGCAGACAAGAGAGACCCCTACCTCAGTCTCCTTGAATACCGCAACACTCCAGTTGACAACTTCAAATCACCAGCCCAGCTGTTGATGAGCCGCAGACTTCGCTCAATCCTTCCCAGCACCAACCAGCAGCTGCAACCTGAGGTCGTCAGCTACAAAGAAGTGCATGCAAAACGTGCACAGAGACAACAACTGCAAAAGCGATACTACGACAGGTCAGCCAGACCACTGCCACCACTGAACGACGGAGAGTCAGTTAGAATCCAGGAGCATGGCTACTGGAAGCCAGCAGTCGTCATCCAACCAGCTGACACTGAACGTTCATATCACGTTCGCACCGCAGAAGGAGCGGTGTACCGCCGCAATCGTCGTCACCTACTGAACACAAAAGAACAACACACTGACGAGATGAACTGTTCCCCTGAAAGAGAACGGGATGGACTAAACACAGACACAACACAACATACACCATACTTACCTGCAACACCACAAGAACTGTTGACTGACACAGAAGCATGCTCAGCTTCATATCACACAAGGTCAGGAAGAGAGGTCAAGCCTAGAGCTGTCCTAGACCTGTGAAATGTCAAAGGGTGTAGGCGGATCGCTGCCCTGAAAGAGTTCCAGACTGTAAACTTGTTATTGAAAGTTAACTTGAAATGCTTTGGTATTGTATTTGTTTGATATGTTGAGATGTCATTGCTACAGTGAAAAGCTGAGTTGCTGAGAAATATTTGTTCTAAAAATAACAATATGCTGAATCATTGTTTGTCTGTTATGTTGATGCAGTTGGTGCAGTTTAAATGGTTACTTACCTCGAGTTCAAACTACAGAGCATATATTCAAAAGAAACGCTTTATTGTTCTACATATTTTTTCTTTTTTTAAAAGAAGGGGGATGTAATATTCATATGTGTCAGCATACTGGATTGTTATGGGATGCATTATACTGTCATATCATACTGTGCTATGATTGGTTAAGACCACCCAGGTGGTGAGGTCATTCTAAGATGATCATGGCCAGAGACACATGGACATGCACGTTATAGCTAGTTAATAAAGAGCTACGTTTATAAATATCCTGTCGTCCTGCATTTTATTATTTTGTACAAAGCGTACAAAACAAGACACACATCACAACAGAGAAAATAAAATATTAGAGGTTACATTTATTTGGGAATATTGTATATGTATTTCGTAGAACAGACATGCTTCTGTCTGTCATCTCCAAACCACCCCCCACGGATAGTTGTATTGCAGATCTACATTGATCCAAAGATTATGTATATACTGACAAGATACTGTACATCTCTCTCCGCCCTAACAATTGGAGTCGTTGTCAACAGAGCGGCACGGCGGGTTGTCTATCTCCCGCCTATCCTTTCTTTGGATTGGTGGATTTATGTAATTGTAATCCTGTTTTGAATATTCAATAAGGGTTGTTGACATCAACCGCCTGTATACAATGGAGATAACATGCTACGCTACTAGCCTCATGCCATGGATATACATAGCCATCTCGAGACAACTCCGATATAAAGTGCTTTTTCTCAAAGTTGCCCGGATGTCACGTGTCCTACTTAGATCAGTACACTCCTAACAATCAAGCGTTACGAAACGTATATTCGATTAAATAAACCTCACGTAGCAAATAAGCCAAATTCGACACTCATTGACCTCCATACAAAAACTCCTTGCTTGGTGGGCAAAACGAAAAACGTCACCTGCTGGAGGGAGACGGATTTTCCGCCGAGTTGGGTCGCTCTCTTTCTTCCTCTCTGACTGATCTAAAAAACGAATCTCTCGATTCCCATGGCGGAAATCCGTCGCAATGACGCATAACTTGAATCACTACCAATTGGCGCCCTTCTTTGAGGCATTGGAAAACCTCCCTGGTCTTTGTGGTTGAAATTCACTGCTCGACTGAGGGACCTTACATATGATTGAATGTGTGGGGTACAGAGATGAGGTAGCCATTCAAAAATCATGTTAAACACTATTATTGCACACAGCGAGTCCATTCAATTTATGTGACTTGTTAAGCACATTTTTTACTCCTGAGCTTATTTAGGCTTGCAATAACAAAGGGGTTGAATAGTTATTGACTCAATACCTTTCACCTTTTCAGTTTTAATTAATTTGTAAACATTTCTAAAAACATAATTCCACTTTGACATTATGGGATATTGTGTGTAGGCCAGTGACAAAAAAATATCTAAATTTTATATTTTTAAATTCAGGCTGTAACACAACTAAATGTGGAAAAAGTCAAGCGGTGTGAATACTTTCTGAAGGCACTATCTGCCTCAAGCTTCTGTCTCCAGGTGTTTCTCGGGCTTCCTGTCTGGTGCGCTCCCACCGCACTCATTATGCTCTGTAAATAAAACCTGGCAGCCATATCCATTAGTAGTAAATTTATTGAAAAAAAAAGATACAACCAATTAGATGGATGTTTCACGGTCTAGAAATATGTAACAGAAAGTAAATAATTTGTTATAACCTTTTTATATTCATACCTTTGAAAATGTGCACAAGAGTCACTACCATACTTACCACATTTAAAAATACATAGGAATAATGTGTAGGTTTCCATCAACATGAAATCAAGGACCAAAATTGAAACAAGCTAACTACAGTAACTACAGATAGAAATAGAGTTAAATGTAAAAAAGAAAAGAAAAAAAGAACCCTGCTTCATCTTATTTTACAACTTGTATTCACTTGGCGAGTAATGCAAAATCAACAAAAGGAAAATAAAACATTCTCAGCACAATTTGCTTGCGTCTCACCCCATTAACATTCAACCCCAATTCAATCCCTCTAGAATTGTGGATTTTAAAAAAAATGGAATATTCAAGAGTGAGTCAGCCTCAAACATGCTTAAAAATCCTGCAGATAAAAATAAATAAAAAATCCACCTGCTTTCATTTTGCAGGTACATAACTGTAGAGCTTAGTCAACTCCCACCTCAACCATTTTGCAATCTTGACAACCTTACAGTTGGGCTATTCGATGTCACACCATCTTTCATATACACATATACTCTGTTTCCAGAAGAAAATTATTTAATAGAAAAGGACCATTGTGTTGAAGAGGAATTCATGCCAGATAACAGACAGAAAATCTGCCACTCCTTTGTGGTCAAAACAGATTGCAACTGCCTTTACAGGACAGTGTCTACTTTACTCCACCCCTCTAAACAGAACAGTGAGATGATTGGTCAGTATTCTCATTGACTTCAAATTGACACTTTGTACTCATGATCATTATCAAAAGGTCTTTCCATAACCTGATTTTCTGCATACAATACACTTGACTTCATGTAACTGAATATAACATTCGATTTAAAATTCGATTTGAATATCAAGTGAATTTAAAAGTATTTGTTTTCATAATTTATATCTAGCACTGACCATTATTTTCCTGTAGAAATGCTCAAGAGAAGAAGTCCAGTAAAAACATACATGATTGTGACCTAAGTCCCCTATGCAATCAAACTATATATAGCATGAGGTAAATACATAAAATGTCTAATTGTACATGAACATTTCTCATTTCTATGGTATCATGTGAGAGGGTAAGGGCACTCCTATGCTACAAATGCCTTACGCACTGTGAAAATGTTTTTCATGGATAGATATACATTGTTGCTTAGTACAAACTTAATTCAGACCAATGGCCAGGAAATACCATTACCCAGAACTGAGCACAAATAGGTTTGAGAATTACAATTGGAACCAACAAAACAAGAGCCAGGCTCAAAGCAGTGTTTATTTTTTCTCATAAATGTTGTTCATAGTTCGTCGGATACACGTCAATCAAACAGACTGGCTTCCTGTCCAATATGTCCTGCACTGAGGGCGAGTTTCAGCAGAAGTTCAGAGTTTGTGCTGGTAAGGAGGTGATGTTAGAGCTGGTTGAGACATGAAGCAGGTGGGTTTCTGTGGGCTTGATTGTAGGTCTCAGTGATGGGCTCCACAGGCCTGAAGGTGATGGTTCAACTGGGGATGGAGGTGGGGCGTCTTGGGACGTACGGCCTAGTGGTGGAGGTTGCTGTTTGGGGGAATGGAGACGTATCTCTGCTGGCCTGGAAGTCCTTTTTGTGCAGGTGGGAGAGGGGGCTCAGAAAGGGGTGGTGGAGGAGCTGGTGTCAGGGAGGGCGCTGGACTGTTGGTCCAGGGGCGAGCTGTCTGCCTGGCGCAGGGCGATGGTCACTGCGGAGTGCTTGCACTTGGGAGAGCTGCACTCACAGCTAAAGTGCTTCCCCTTGATGTCCCAGAAATGGTCACCGTAGTCAAACCTGAGAAAGGAGGGGTTGGGACATCAAGAGATATTAATCTTAAATCAAGCTCCCTAATCTTGATTTTAGGGGGAACAAAATACTTAACGGCCAAACATTTTGTTGTGTTACAAGGTGGGATTAAAATTGACTTAATTGTCATTTTTTTGTCAACGATATACACAAAATACTCTAATGACAAAATGGAAGAAACTTCACACAAAAATTCCTATCACAGCCATTAAACTCTAGCTGTTTTAAAGTCACCATTGGCCTCATGGTGAAATCGCTGAGCTCCTTCCTCTCTGGCAACTGAGTTAGGAAGGATGCCTGTATCTTTGTAGTGACTGGGTGTATTGATACACCATCCAAAGTGTAATGAATAACTAAACCATGCTCACAGGGATATTCACTGTCTGCTTTTCTTTTTTTTCTACTCATCTACCAATAGTTGCCCTTCTTTGTGAGGCATTGGAAAACCTCCCTGGTCTTTGTAGTTTAATCTGTTTTTGAAATTCCCTGCTCGACCGAGGGACCTTACAGATAATTGTATGTGTGGGGTACAGAGTTAAACACTATTATTGCACAAAGAGTGAGTCCATGCAACTTAGTATGTGACTTTATTTTTATTTTATTTAACCAGGTAAGACAGTTGAGAACAAGTTCTCATTTACAACTGCGACCTGGCCAAGATAAAGCAAAGCAGTGCGATAAAAACAACACAGAGTTACATATGGAATAACCAAAACGTACAGTCAAAAACACAATAGAAAATCTATATACAGTGTGTGCAAATGTAGTAAGTTATGGAGGTAAAGCAATAAATAGGCCATAGTGCAAAATAATTACAATTTATATTAACACGAGTTATAGATGTGCAGAAGATGATGTGCAAATAGAGATACTGGGGTGCAAATAAGCAAAATAAATAACAATATGGGGATGAGGTAGTTGGGTGGGCTAATTACAGATGGGCTGTGTACAGGTGCAGTGATCGGTAAGCTGCTCTGACAACTGATAGTTAAAGTTAATGAGGGAGATAAGAGTCTCCAGCTTCAGAGATTTTTGCAGTTCGTTCCAGTCATTGGCAGCAGAGAACTGGAAGGAATGGCGGCCTTTGGGGATGACCAGTGAGATATACCTGCTGGAGCACATACTACGGGTGGATGTTGCTATGGTGACCAATGAGCTAAGATAAGGCAGGGATTTGCCTAGCAGTGATTTATATAGATGACCTGGAGCCAGTGGGTTTGGCGACGAATATGTAGTGAGGGCCAGCCAACGAGAGCGTACAGGTCACAATGGTGGGTAGTATATGGGGCTTTGGTGACAAAACAGATGGCACTGTGATAGACTACATCCAATTTGCTGAGTAGAGTGTTGGAGGCTATTTTGTAAATGACATCGCCGAAGTCAAGGATCGGTAGGATAGTCAGTTTTACGAGGGCATGTTTGGCAGCATGAGTGAAGGAGGCTTTGTTGCGAAATAGGAAGCCGATTCTAGATTTAACTTTGGATTGGAGATGCTTAATGTGAGTCTGGAAGGAGAGTTTACAGTCTAACCAGACACCTAGGTATTTGTAGTTGTCCACATATTCTAAGTCAGACCCGCCGAGAGTAGTGATTCTAGTCGGGAGGGCGGGTGCAAGCAGCGTTCGATTGAAGAGCATGCATTTAGTTTTACTAGCGTTTAAGAGCAGTTGGAGGCTACGGAAGGAGTGTTGTATGGCATTGAAGCCCGTTTGGAGATTTGTTAACACAGTGTCCAATGAAGGGCCAGATGTATACAAAATGGTGTCGTCTGCGTAGAGGTGGATCTGAGAGTCACCAGCAGCAAGAGCGACATCATTGATATACACAGAGAATAGAGTCGGGCCGAGAATTGAACCCTGTGGCACCCCCATAGACTGCCAGAGGTCCAGACAACAGGCCCTCCGATTTGACACATTGAACTCTGAGAAGTAGTTGGTGAACCAGGCGAGGCAGTCATTTGAGAAACCAAGGCTATTTAGTCTGCCAATAAGAATGCGGTGATTGACAGAGTCGAAAGCCTTGGTCAGGTCGATGAAGACGTTGTTGAGTTTAGGAGTAAAAATGTGCTTATTTTGGCTTGCCATTACAAAAGGGGTTGAATACTTATTGACTCAAGACATTTCAGCCTTTCATTTTGTATTAATTTGTTTAAAAAAATTGAAAAACATAATTCTACTTTGACATTATGGGGTATTGTGTGTAGGCCAGTGACACAAAATCTCTATTTAATCCATTTTAAATTCAGGCTGTAACACAACAAAAGGTGGAAAAAGTCAAGGGGTCTGAATACATTCGTAAAGTATTAAGACCCCTTCCCCACATTTTGTTATGTTACAGCCTTATTCTAAAATGGATTAAATAAATAAAAATCCTCAATCTACACACAATACCCCATAATGGACAAAGCGAAAACAGGTTTAGAAATTTGTGCAAATGTATAAAAAATAAAAAACAGAAATACCTTATTTACATAAGTATTCAGACCCTTTGCTATGAGACTCGAAATTGAGCTCAGGTGCATCCTGTTTCCATTGATCATCCTTGAGATGTTTCTACAACTTGATTGGAGTCCACCTGTGGTAAATTCAATTGATTGGACATGATTTGGAAAGGCACACACTTGTCTATATAAAGGTCCCACAGTTGACAGTGCATGTCAGAGCAGAAATCAAGCCATGTGGTCGAAGGAATTGTCTGTAGAGCTCTGAGACAGGATTGTGTCGAGGCACAGCTCTGCGGAAGGGTACTAAAACATTTCTGCAGCATTTAAGGTTCCCAAGAACACATTCTTAAATGGAAGAAGTTTGGAACCACCAAGACTCTTCCTAGAACTGGCCGCCCGGCCAAACTGAGCAATCGGGGGAGAAGGGCCTTGGTCAGGGAGGTGACCAAGAACCTGATGGTCACTCTGACAGAGCCCCAGAGTTCCTCTGTGGAGATGGGAGAACCTTCCAGAAGGACAACCATCTCTGCAACACTCCAGCAATCAGGCCTTTATGGTAGAGTGGCCAGACGGAAGCCACTTCTCAGTAAAAGGCACATAACAGCCCGCTTGGAGTTTACCAAAAAGGCACCTAAAGGACTCTCAGACCATGAGAAACAAGATTCTCTGGTCTGATGAAACCAAGATTGAACTCTTTGGCCTGAATGCCAAGTGTCACGTCTGGAGGAAACCTGCCACCATCCCTACGGTGAAGCATGGTGTTGGCAGCATCATGCTGTGGGGATGTTTTTCAGCGGCAGGGACTGGGAGACTAGTCAGGATCGAGGGAAAGATGAACGGAGCAAAGAACACAGAGATCCTGGATGAAAACCTGCTCCAGAGCGCTCAGGACCTCAGACTGGGGTGAAGGTTCACCTTCCAATAGGACAACGACCCTAAGCACACAGCCAAGACAACACAGGAGTGGCTTTGGGACAAGTCTCTGAATGTCCTTGAGTGGCCCAACCAGAGCCCGGACTTGAACCCGACCGAACATCTCTGGAGAGACCTGAAAAAAGCTGTGCAGCGACACTCCCCATCCAACCTGACAGAGCTTGAGAGGATCCACAGAGAAGAATGGGAGAAACTTCCCAAATACAGGTGTGCCAAGCTTGTAGCGTCATACCCAAGAAGACTCGAGGCTGTAATCGCTCCCAAAGGTGCTTCAACAAAGTACTGAGTAAAGGGTCTGAATACTTATGTAAATGCAATATTTCCATTTTTTATTTGGAATAGATTTGCAAAAACGTCTAAAAGCTGTTTTTGCTTTGTTATTATGGGGCATTGTGTGTAGATTATGAGGGAAAAAAACGATTTAATCAATTTTAGAATAAGGCTGTACCATAACAAAATGTGGAAAAAGTCGAGGAGTCTGAATACTTTCCGAATGCACTGTATACGACCCTTACCCTAGCTCTTCCCCAGCCTTGATGGTCTCGCAGGCGAAGAAGGCGATATGGGGGAAGCGCAGGTCCTGGTGTGCCGTGAACACCCGGCAGGAGAATAGGTTCGGCTCGCACATGTGGTTGATGAACCGGCTGATGTTGCCATAGAAACGGGCATCTATGCAGTACACGTCACCCACCTGCGACCAAAGAACACACATAAATGGATCATAATGAATAAAGAAGGATCTGCATAATCTGCAGTGGTAATTCTTTACGGGCAGAGATATCAAACAGAATAACAAAAAAAGACAATTATCAGAAGAATAGCAGAGTGTTTTAGAAACCCCACAAGGATAGGCCTCAAGAGACAGGAATAAAATGCATTTTTGATCACTGGGTAACAGATTGAAACCTGCAATTACAGTGGCCCAAGTTGAGATATCTAGTTACATTTAGGATTTGTCTTAAAGCTCCTGCAAAGCTTTGGGATATACAGTGGGGAGAACAAGTATTTGATACACTGCCGATTTTGCAGGTTTTCCTACTTACAAACATGTAGAGGTCTGTATTTTTTATCATAGGTACACTTCAACTGTGAGAGACGGAATCTAAAAGAAAAATCCAGAAAATCACATTGTATGATTTAAGTAATTAATTTGCATTTTATTGCATGACATAAGTATTTGATCACCTACCAACCAGTAAGAATTCCGGCTCTCATAGACCTGTTAATTTTTCTTTAAGAAGCCCTCCTGTTCTCCACTCATTACCTGTATTAACTGCACCTGTTTGAACTCCTTACCTGTATAAAAAGACACCTGTCCACACACTCAATCAAACAGACTCCAACCTCTCCATAATGGCCAAGACCAGGGAGCTGTGTAAGGACATCAGGGATAAAATTGTAGACCTGCACAAGGCTGGGATGGGCTACAGGACAATAGGCAAGCAGCTTGGTGAGAAGGCAACAACTGTTGGCGCAATTATTAGAAAATGGAAGAAGTTCAAGATGATGGTCAATCACCCTTGGTCTGGGGCTCCATGCAAGATCTCAACTCGTGGGGCATCAATGATCATGAGGAAGGTCAGGGATCAGCCCAGAACTACACGGCAGGACCTGGTCAATGACCTGAAGAGAGCTGGGACCAGAGTCTCAAAGAAAACCATTAGTAACACACTACGCTGTCATGGATTAAAATCCTGCAGCGCACGCAAGGTCCCCCTGCTCAAGCCAGCGCATGTCCAGGCCCATCTGAAGTTTGCCAATGACCATCTGGATGATCCAGAGGAGGAATGGGAGAAGGTCATGTGGTCTGATGAGACAAAAATATAGCTTTTTGGTCTAAACTCCACTCGCCGTGTTTGGAGGAAGAAGAAGGATGAGTACAACCCCAAGAACACCATCCCAACCGTGAAGCATTGAGGTGGAAACATCATTCTTTGGGGATGCTTTTCTGCAAAAGGGACAGGATGACTGCACCGTATTGAGGGGAGGATGGATGGGGCCATGTTTCGCGAGATCTTGGCCAACAACCTCCTTCCCTCAGTAAGAGCATTGAAGATGGGTTGTGGCTGGGTCTTCCAGCATGACAACGACCCGAAACACACAGCCAGGGCAACTAAGGAGTGGCTCCGTAAGAAGCATCTCAAGGTCCTGGAGTGGCCTAGCCAGTCTCCAGACCTGAACCCAATAGAAAATCTTTGGAGGGAGCTGAAAGTCCGTATTGCCCAGCGACAGCCCCGAAACCTGAAGGAGCTGGAGAAGGTCTGTATGGAGGAGTGGGCCAAAATCCCTGCTGCAGTGTGTGCAAACCTGGTCAAGACCTACAGGAAACGTATGATCTCTGTAATTGCAAACAAAGGTTTCTGTACCAAATATTAAGTTCTGCTTTTCTGATGTATCAAATACTTATGTCATGCAATAAAATGCAAATTAATTACTTAAAAATCATACAATGTGATTTTCTGGATTTTTAGATTCCGTCTCTCACAGTTGAGGTGTACCCATGATAAAAATTACAGACCTCTACATGCTTTGTAAGTAGAAAAACCTGCAAAATCGGCAGTGTATCAAATACTTGTTTTCCCCACTGTAGGTTTCATAACGTGATGAGAATAGTAGCACTGATCCCTACCTTGCTGTCCAGGTTGAACAGGTAGGAGTCGTTTTCCCTGACATCTGCCTCTGCATCAGAGATGATCTCCCCCACGTACCTGTGGACAAGAAGTGGGGTCCGGACCCACCAACACCACAACTATCAATGCAGCACCACACACAGATGACATTGGATGGGAAATCATCTAAGAACTTGGTGAATGTGCGGCAAAATAAAGCTGCATTGTGAAAGGGGTACGTCTGGGACTCACTCGCACACAAAGGTCCCCTGAGGAATTTCCTGCAGTGTCCGGACCCCCCAGCCCATCCGACTGGTCCGGAACAGCTGGAGCCGGACCCTGAGAAAAACAAACTCTTTCAGCATTGATGTTCTTACAATACACTCATCTCCCAAACATTATCCTCACATGCATTTGGGAAGTCAAATCCATGAAAACTTCCCCACGAATGATTGCTGTTTGACTGTCACTAAAATGCATTTTTCTGATATAGATGTTCTTATCAATAGGGTTGAGGAGTGTTTGCTTGGTTTCATAAATATGGTAGAATGTATAGACAGGAAATTTGGCCGTCAGTGTGGCCACGTGAGGCGGTCTTGGTACAGTACCTCAGTCCGTTCTGCACCACACGGTTCTTGCAGGTTCTCCAGCAGGAGCAGGCGTGGTTACACTCGAAGATAAGGGGCGGTTCCTCACGACAGAACTCGGGGAGCAGACGACCATCCTGAGAACGGTCATGGAACAGACATGACGATCATGCAAGATCATCACTTTGTCAACAATAGTGATACTGAAGTGTTCGGCCTTACCTTGTCATACCAACAGCGTAGGCTGAGCTGGCCACACATGCAGCTGCTTGAGGAGCAGTTGTCTTTACACACACAGTACTGTGGACCGCAGGGAGGGAAAGAGATGGTCATTTAATCTTTCATGTCATGCTATCCCAGGGGTGGGCAATAATTGTCTCGACGGCCACATTGGGATTTAAAAATTCAGCAGTAGGCTGCACAGATTTTTCCAGACAGATTTGTTCATCAAAAGCAAGTTGCGGCCCAGAAAAAGGGCTGTTATTTGAAACGTATAGGTTCATTATAATTTCTACATACTTTATCTTTTAGACTGTCAAGAATGGCCTGGAGTAATTTCTTTACCCAAACCTCCCACGGGACAGATTGAATGGGTATGTTGTCCACCCCTGTAAGTATGGTCAACCCAGTGACATTACCCACCTGTAAGTGTGTGATGTTCTTGTCTATGTTCATGGGGGAGGTGACACAGTTGTCTGGCACGTATTTATAGTTGTCCGGACAGGGCTCACTATCCACTGAGTTGACACATGGGACTGGAACTCTCTCATACCCCCGGGCTATGTCTCTGTAATGTGGAGGGAGATGGAGGCTCAGGTCCCAGTGGACACCCATTGTTAAGACTTTATCAGTGCATTATTATCAAAACAAATAGAATAGTTAGCCACAAGTGAGGAAGAGATAAAGGAGAGGAAAAAGGTAGAAAGGGTACCATGCATTGTCGGCGATAGAAAATCAGAAAGGTTAATGTCTAAGAGAGTAATGCGTGAGATTATTGTGTGTGTGTGTGTGTGTGTGTGTGTGTGTGTGTGTGAGAGAGTGAGTGAGAGAGAGAACAAGGGATTCTACCTGTTGAGGACCTTCTCCCCCTGGGTGCCGCTCCTGGCCTCCCTAATCCTCCTGTTAGTCTGAAGGGTGAGCCACACCCTGGAGCTGCGGCTGCAGCAGTCCGGTGGGGTCTCCCCCTCACGGTTCTTCAGGTTGACATCCGCCTCGCGAGACAGGAAGAGCCTGAAGGGCCACAGACCATAGCGTTTAACACATCACTTAACTGTACTAGATGGAACAGTTCTGATACAGTGCCTTGCAAAAGTATTCATCCCCCTTGGCGTTTTTCCTATTTTGTTGCATTTCAACCTGTAATTTAAATGGATTTTTATTTGGATTTCATGTAATGGACACACAAAAAATAGTCCAAATTGGTGAAGTGAAATTAAAAAAATAACTTGTCTAAAAAAATTCAAAAAAATAAATAACGGAAAAGTGGTGTGTGCATATGTATTAACCCCTTTGCTATGAAGCCCCTAAATAAGATCTGGTGCAACCAATTACCTTAAGAAGTCACATAATTAGTTAAATAAAGTCCACCTGTGTGCAATCTAAGTGTCACATGATCTGTCACATGATCTCAGTATATATACACCTGTTCTGAAAGGCCCCAGAGTCTGCAACACCACTAAGCAAGGAGCTCTCCAAACAGGTCAGGGACAAAGTTGTGGAGAAGTACAGATCAGGGTTGGGTTATAAAAAAATATCCGAAACTTTGAACATCCCACGGTGCACCATTAAATCCATTATTAAAAAATGGAAAGAATATGGCACCACAACAAACCTGCCAAGAGAGGGCCGCCCACCAAAACCCACGGCCCAGGCAAGGAGGGCATTAATCAGAGGCAACAAAGAGACCAAAGATAACCTGCAAAGCTCCACAGTGGAGATTGGAGTATCTGTCCATAGGACAACTTTAAGCCACTCGTACACTCCACAGAGCTGGGCTTTACGGAAGAGTGGCGAGAAAAAAGCCATTGCTTAAAGAAACAAATAAGCAAACACGTTTGGTCTTCGCCAAAAGGCATGTGGGAGACTCCCCAAACATATGGAAGAAGGTACTCTGGTCAGATGAGACTAAAATTGATATTTTTAGCCATCAAGGAAAACGCTATGTCTGGCGCAAACCCAACACCTCTCATCACCCCGAGAACACCATCCCCACAGCAAAGCATGGTGGTGGCAGCATCATGCTGTGGGGATGTTTTTCCATTGGCAGGGACTGGGAAACTGGTCAGAATTAAAGGAATGATGGATGGCGCTAAATACAGGGAAATTCTTGAGGGAAATCTGTTTCAGTCTTCCAGAGATTTGAGACTGGGACAGAGGTTCACCTTCCAGCAGGACAATGACCCTAAGCATACTGCTAAAGCAACGCTTGAGTGGTTTAAGGGGAAACATTTAAATGTCTTGGAATGGCCTAGTCAAAGCCCAGACCTCAATCCAATTGAGAATCTGTGGTATGACTTAAAGATTGCTGTACACCAGCGGAACCCATCCAACTTGAAGGAGCTGGAGCAGTTTTGCCTTGAAGAATGGGCAAAAATCCCAGTGGCTAGATGTGCCAAGCTTATAAAGACATACCCCATCAGACTTGCAGCTATAATTGCTGCAAAAGGTGTCTCTACAGAGTATTGACTTTGGGGGGGTGAATAGTTATGCACACTCAAGTTCTGTTTTTTTTGTGTTATTTCTTGTTTGTTTCACAAGAAAAAATATTTTGCATCTTCAAAGTGGTAGGCATGTTGTATAAATCAAATTATACAAACCCCCCAAAAATCCATTTAAATTCCAGGTTGTAAGGCAACAAAATAGAAAAAATGCCAAGGGGGGTGAATACTTTCGCAAGCCACTGTATGGCTACAGCCTCGGTTATAATAACAATTATATTACCTATTGCTGAATCACCAGAGCCATTTCCCCTCAACCTTTACTCACATGACGCATTCAAGCCTGTTCTCCCGCGCGGCGATGTGCAGAGGGGAGTCTCCGTGGATGTTGACAGCGTGGAGATCACACTTGGCCTCTAGGAGGAGCTCTGCGATCTCCACACTGCCAGAGAACGCCGCCCAGTGGAGACAGATGTTTTCCTCCTACAAAACAAAAACAAACAGCAGCAAATTCACAACAGTCAGACAAAAAGTCATAGAAACAACAATGTAATTGAAACAATTTGGCTTGGGGGAGGTCATGAGGACCTTTGGTTGCCCATGGTTACTGACCTTGTCCCTGATGTTGATGTCAGCCCCTTTATTGAGAAGCAGCTTCACCTGGTCTAGGTGCTTATACTCTGTTGCCCAGATCATGGCCGTCCAACCGCCATCGTCCTAGAGAGAGTAGCAACATCACATCTTTAAGAATGGGCCCCTACAGTACAGGATTGCTTTAAATGTCCTGGATATAACGATTAGCAATTTCACTAACCTTCTCCAAGAGTTTGTATTATAAGAGGGTGAGGATGTATTTCTATTCACGAGCTCAGAGACCAAACTTATGTGGCAGGGTTACCACCACAAGGTCAAAGACCTGCCATAATGGCTCAATACCTGCAGCAAGGTCAATCACTTCAAATAGAGACATCAAATACCGCACTGGGGTTCTAAACTCTGCAGTCCCACAGGCATATGGAATCAGTGGGCCTTTGATGGTGGCATATAAAAGACGAAAGATATCTCCTTTTGAAATGCTGAAGCATCCCTGCCACACGTCTTTGATATCAGATACATTTTTAGAGGCAAAGATAAACAACCGTTTTAGAGATGGCCAGAATAGAGGTCAAAGGCAACTTACTCGGCAGTGTATAGCTTTACACAAACAAATAGGTTCTCACACGGCAGGGGAGCTGTAATCCTAACTAATGCATGCTGGGAAAGAGCTGGTAATTCCGCAGCGGCTGCAATGTAAGAGAAAACCATTAGGAACTCATGTCGAGTGGATGGGGGCAGCACACCCAACGAGAGGAGAATCAGACCTCTAAGGAAAGGCCACTAGTGAGACCACGACACACAGGCCAGAGGAAAATAGAACTGGATCAACATGAAAGCACTCTTGGTTCTGATTGACTTCAGTAGTACAACCAACACATGCCATCCTAAGCAATAATCTTCTTGAGGGACTAAACTTATGCTCAATTAATTTGGTTTTCACTGGTTTATGACTGAAAAGGACAGAACTCACCTGGCAGTTGATGTCTATGAGTCCTGTGGAGAGGAGATGCTCCACAATGTTGTAATGGCCAATCTTAGCAGCTAGGTGGAGACACGTGAACCCCTCCACATCCTGGAGAACAGAGGGCAGTCAACACACATTGCTCCTGTCATAAGATCCAATAGCCAGTAGCCATAAGATCCATCCAATAGCCAACCAACATGGCTTGCATGGTATGAAAATACTGTTACATAGGCCTAAAATAAGAGTGGCACTTACATACAGCAGCATTAAATCCACTACGCCCATGGAACTATACATCAACAAAACATATTTGGAGGATGATGTGTAAGTGATATAGTGGTGGTAAGAGTGGGTTGGTTGACCCACCTTGTGGCTGGCGATGGCTCCTGCACTCAGTAGGTAGCGGACAGTCTCCAGGTGGTTGTTTTCACAGGCCTCCATCAGGGGCGTGCGCTGGTCCTCATCATAGATGTCCAGGTTAGCACCGGACTGGTAGGTAGGGAGGGACATCAAAACTGGATCAATCTACTCATCAATACTATGGACATGTCCATATTCAATGTCAAAATATGAAAATATTGTCTGATCAAAATGAACACGAGTCCATTATAAGATGTCAATACATGTACAACATGATAAGCTGGTGAGTCACAAGACAGATACCAGTGAACCCATGCTAAAAATGTATATTCTGCATGTCCATGTAATGCATTGTCTACCCCATCACTCATCCACACCCAGGGGGAACCATAGCCAACCCTCACCTGAACCAGCAGGTGACAGATCTCCTGGTGGCCTGCCTCAGCTGCTACATGGAGGGGGGTGCGTCTGCTCTGGCTCTCCATCTTAAAGTTAGGGTCGATCCCATCCACTAGTGGACAGAGATGCAGACAGAGACATTTAAAAAAATCACAAACACCCGACCATAGAACCAGTTATAAAGATAAAGGATAATGACTTTTGTTAATTGATTAATATAAACATCCTGGCCCATTAAGTCTTTAGTGAAGGAATCTCCCTCACCCAGCATGAGAAGGACCTTCTGTAGCTCGCCCTGTTTGGCAGAGATGAACAGCTGCTTGGGGTGAAACCGCAGCTTCTTGGGTCTGATGCACGACACAAACAGGACACATGGAGAAAGTCAATCAAAGGAATACACCTTCACAATAACAGGAAAATCTTGATAGAAAACGGAGAAATAATTTAATGTGCATAAACATGAGCAAAGCACACAAGAACGTCAAAGGAATGTACTGTACAATGCACTTTTCACAATACTAACACAATCTGAAACTATTTAGCCTAACGAGTGCATAGTAGAGCAGCACTCTCCTCTCAACCCTGAGTCTTGGTAGTGTGTCTTACTTCTCTGTGTCCAGTGCCAGCAGGATGCTCTCCAAGGTCTCTTTAGGGGTGGCGCCCACTCCTATGCCCATCCCAATCCCCACCGCAGGAGGCAGTACTCCTGTTCTGGAGCCCCCAGGGAAGGAGGAGGTGTCCAGTGTGTGCCCAGGGGGGATGGAGAGAGAGCTGTCTGCTCGGCTACTTAGATCACCTCCCACAGAGAAACGGGATAGACTGAAACACACACAGAATGCCTGACTACTACAACAGAAAAGTGATATGGTTCAAAATACAAGTGTCCTATTCCCAGACTGAAAGGGAGACATAATAGGAAACTACAGGTAACTGCCAAAATAAAGGAAACACCAACATAAAGTGTCTTAATAGGGTGTTGGGCCACCATGAGCCAGAACAGCTTCAATGCACCTTGGCATAATATGCCATTTAGCAGACGCTTTTATCCAAAGCGACTTACAGTCATGTGTGCATACATTTTTTTTTGTGCATGGGTGGTCCCGGGGATTGAACCCACTACCTTGGCGTTACAAGCGCTGTGCTCTACCAGCTGAGCTACAGAGGACCACATAGATTCTACAAGTGTCTGGAAATCTATTGGAGGGATGCGACACCATTCTTCAACGAGAAATTACATAATTTGGTGTTTTGTTAAAGGAGGTGGAAAACGCTGTCTCAGGTGCCGCTCCAGAATCTCCCATAAGTGTTCATTTGGCTTGAGATCTGGTGATGGAGACAGCCATGGGATATGGTTTACATCGTTTTCATGCTCATCAAACCATTCAGTGACCACTCGTGCCCTGTGGATGGGGGCATAGCCATGGTAGCCAAAATAATGTCCTGCCCAGCATTGTTATACATGACCCTAAGCATGATGGGATGTTAATTGCTGAATTAACTCAGGAACCACACCTGTGTGAAAGCACCTGCTTTCAATACAATGTATCCCTCATTCACTCAAGTGTTTCCTTTATTTTGGCAGTTACCTGTATGTATTGATGAAAATGGATTGGACTGCAATGGAAGCCCCCCCCCCCCCCCCCAACTCATTGCCCCCAACAGTGCTGTGAACCTACCCCCCAGTGGTGGTGTCTGCCCTGCCCTCTGCAGCCCCGGGTGTGGCAGGGCCGTGTGCACCATGTGTGGCGGGCATGGTGGAGGTGGTGTCGGCCTTGGCGATGGTGACCTCCTTGGCCTTGCTGGCCTCTTCTCCACAGTGTGGACAGAAGGTTTGGCCCTTCAGCACCGAGGCACAGGACCGGTGGAAACGGTGAGAGATGTTGACGTCCAGTTGGCACTCCATGAAGGTCCCCTACAACCCAAACACAGCCAGGTCAGTGTGACTACCGTTGGAAAATCCCAGTATAATTATCACAATTAAGCCCATCGGTAGTTCAGTGTTTTACGTTGGGCCAGGGGGTTTTCCTAAGCATGACATAACCAGGAAAAAATATTGGTGCCCTAACAAGAACCATCATTATAACTAGGACCCAGAGCTTTTACTGGCTAACTATAAGGCACTTCCTACTAACTCAGAATTAGATGCAGTGTTTGCCCATTCCCACTGCAGGGAGGTGCCAGTACTTACAGCCCTGCAGAAGAAGCCACAGCCGGGGCAGCACTGGTGCTTGACCATGCCGGCCCGGTGGTCCTCACACAGCACCAGCAGCTGCACCGAGTTCGAAGGACGCATCATCTCATGCTTTAGAACCGCACTCTGACATCGGCTCAGCTGTAGGGAGAAGGAAAGAGGTTTGAGTGAGAAACAAAGGCTGCATCCCAATTTTCCAGCATTTTCCCCAAAGTGTGTAGAAAAGAGTGGAGAATCGGGAAGCAGCCAAAGACATAGGGAGAGAAGGTGATAAGTGAACATACGGAATGGAATAAGTGCAAAAATAGGATGAGGCATAGCATCAGGCTCACCTGTCGGTCGACGCTCTCCGTGGCCATGCACTTCCTGTCGGCCAGCGTGAGGATCTCCCGGCTCTTGGGCGTCTCCATGCGACAGCTGCAGAGGGGTAGCTCCTGCACCATGTCTGCCTCCACATCCTCAGAAACTCCTGCCCAGCGAAACATCCACTCAGCTCAGAACATCGAAACAGATGTCAATGTGACCCTTCCTAGACACAGGTTTACTGCTCTTTCCAAGAGTTTATAGAGTTTAATTTGTAAAGACACAAATAGACCGCAGAGCTACAATAGTGGTACAGTTCTTGACTCTTTACATATTTTATATTTCTATAACATACATCACCAGCAGGGGGCGCTCAGTGCTGCTCTGATGAGTCATCTTTTTTATTTTATTTTTTCTTTATTTAACTAGGCAAGTCAGTTAAGAACAAATTCTTATTTACAATGACGGCCTACACCGGCCAAACCCAGACGACGCTGGGCCAATTGTGCGCTGCCCTATGGGACTCCCAATCACGGCCAGTTGTGATACATCCTGGTATCGAACCAGGGGGTCTGTAGTGATGCCTCAAGCACTGAGATGCAGTGTCTTCGACCGCTGCGCCACTCGGGAGCCAGTGGTCCAGTGAGGGAGGACAGAGGCCTTGTCCCTTAACATTAAAAGGTAGTCCATGAATGGAAACTATCTTACCAACAGGCAGCTCAGTTCTCAACTACACCACTACCTACTCCCCTTCCACCCCCATCACCTACTCCTATAAGGCCTCACTCACCTGTGTGCTGTGAGGAGAGCATCATTTCCTTGGCTTTAAGGTTGAGCGAGGGGAGGGGAACCTCTGTGTAGTCCTTACTGAGGCCTGCCTGGCCCTGGGGCCCTGTGCCTGAAAGAGGAGGGAGAGTTAGCTAGCACAGGGAGATGAAAGTCAGGGGTAATATTATGTCCCTATTATGGTCCTCATAAGGCAGAAAGATGGGTTGCTGTACCAGGGAGTCCCTCAGTCTCGGGCTTCCTTTTCCGTTTCCTGGACGGCCGGAGCCAGAAGTAGTCTCCTTTTGCTTTCTTTTTCAACCTCTTCTTCTTCACGCTGGATTCCGAGCCCTGTGTGAACGCAGATCAATTGAGATATGTAAAGTTCTATTCTCTCCCATGAACATCAATGTACTCCTCACTGATGGTGGAACAGATTGACAGAGAAAATTATAGTGCTTTGATAATGTTTGGGTTCAGAAAAACACTCCATGCCATTGGATGATGGTCTAATCAGCAGACTCAAAGAAGAGAAAATTGTTGTCTATGATTGTGTGCTCTTACCAAGTCTGACTCGTTCCCCTCTTCTTCCCCTTCCTCCTCAGCTGATTCCTCAGAGTCTGGCTCCTCTCCCAGCTCGCCCTGAACAGACAAGTACCACAACATGTCAAAGAGGTTTGGCCATTTGGAAAGGGGGGGATTTAATGGTCTACACCAGTGATTCTATACCAGTGATACCTATGAATGTAATAGGAGCATCATTTTATCAAGGTTATCAGCTGGGGTCCAGACAAAGCAAACTAAGACAATGAAGTCAATGGGCTCCAACCTGAATGGCAGGGCCTGATGTTCGACTCTTCTCCAGGGCTGTGGTGACACTTTCCTCTCCACCCTGCTCCTCCTCTTCCTCCCACTCCTCTCCATCCTCCCACTCTTCCTCCTCTGACTCGTTCTCCACCCTTTCCCCATTCACGCGTGCTACCTCTTTAGACTATGAGCAGAGTAATATTACAACATGACACTGTTACAGCTAAATCTCCTATTTACAATAAATGTATTCCTGATTTCCATTTATTCTAAAACAGTTAAGATAGTCTATGGAGGAGAGGTGAGACCTGTGCGCTTTGAGTTGATTGAAGTTGACTAAACATCTCCAGCACAGTCCCCTGCCTCAGCACTTTTGTTTTCTTCCTGGGGACCAGACTGTATGTTCCCATCTTCCTTTTCTTCTTCCTCGATGCTGGAAGAGAGCGTTCAATTGAGCTCAAGGATCCAAGAACCTCTTACACTACATACACAGAAGCTCTCATTCATACTCCTCTGGCTTTTGGAGCCTTGAAACAAGTAAACAGGCTTCAGTAAGCAAAGTCCTGCCATTATATAACTGCATTTCCATTGTTGTGTGTGGACTGTGATGATTATTTGCCTTATACCCCTGTCCCTCCCCCTTCCAGGGCCAAGTGCGGTCTGTCTGACCTGTCTGGGACTTGGCCATGGCTGCAGCTGGCACGTCGCTTTGGCTCGGAGGTAACTGGTTCTGGGAGGGGGACGTCTGCTGGGACTTCTCCTCCTCCTCTGGTCCATTCTGACTCTCCTTGTCTGCACTGTTTGGTTCTTTTAATTCCCTGTTTAGAAGCTATGGGGATAAAGAAGACAGCAGTGAATCAAGTGGTGGCTATGCTTGATATTTTTGTAGAGCTTCACTCACCAGTTGCAGAACCAATAAAACAACATGCAATCACTGCCCAATGTGGACTATGTCTCACTCAAAGACCCAAAAAATTAATTGACTACCTCTTTACTAGGCTAATACTAGTTACCTTTAGTGTCTGGTTGGATGCTGGCATGGACATGGTCTTGCGTGCTCGGTGTATGGCGATGGACCATGGAGAGGGGGCTGGGGAGTTGCTAGGGGACGTGCCGTTTTTAGTCTCTGTGTCTGAGGTCCCCTGTCCCGACGGGGACCCGGCACGCTGGGTGTCAGTCCTTATTGCGCCCAGACTGTGGCCGCACCCGGCTGCCGAAGACGGGAACGTTTTGGTGGCGTGTCCAATCATGGTGGTGCCTGAGGGCAACCAGCTAGTCCTGTGTGGGGCAGCCGCCGAGCCCGTCCCCGTTGAAGACCCCCCCTCCTGCTGCTGCTTACTGAGAACGTATCCATTACTCCCGGTGGTGGAGCCGTGAGGCAGGTCCGTCTCCATCATCCCATTCTCTGTAGCTGCCTGTGACCCATTGGCCGGGGAGACCAGGGGGGTGGGGTTCTTGTGTCCGTTCCCCACCTCTGCACTCTCATAGGTCCCATTTAGCTCCGCCTCTGCTCCCAGTCTGGCAGCTACCTTCTCGTCTCTCGATGCATCTATAATAGTGGATTTCAGTCACTCATAGTATGGCCTTATGTTAGTTCAAGAGAGGAAATACAGGAAACTGCCAAAATATTGAAAAAAATTGAGTGAATGAGGGATACAATGTGTATTGAAAGCAGGTGCTTAGGTGTGGTTCCTGAGTTAATTCAGCAATTAACATCCCATCATGCTTAGGGTCATGTATAACAATGCTGGGCAGGACATTATTTTGGCTACCATGGCTATGCCCCTATAGGTTGATAATGCCCCCATCCACAGGGCATGAGTGGTCACTGATTGGTTTGATCAGGATGTAAACATTTTACATTTTAGTCATTTAGCAGACGCTCTTATCCAGAGTGACTTACAGTTAGTGAGTGCATACCTTTTTCATAAATTTTTCAAACCATATGCCATGGCCGTCTGTCACCAGATCTCAACCCAATTGAACACTTATGGGAGATTCTGGAGCGGCGCCTGAGACAGTGTTTTCCACCACCATCAACAAAACACCAAATGATGGAATTCCTTGTGGAAGAATGGTGTCGCATCCCTCCAATAGAGCTCTAGACACGTGTAGAATCTATGCCAAGGTGCATTGAAGCTGTTCTGGCTCATGGTGGCCCAACACCCTATTAAGACACTTTATGTTGGTGTTTCCTTTATTTTGGCAGTTACCTGTATGTCCAAATGAAGACTATGTCAAGGATTACATCTTGCCATGTTTAGCTGTGATGACTTTAAAGATGAACTCACCTCCCTCCTCTGCTCGGTCCCCAGGTGACTCCATCCCATCCTCCATGGACTCCACTTTACCCACTCTGCCTTTGGCCAGACCTGTGGGCTGACAGCACACATACACACTTAACTCCATACACAGAGTCAAGAACACAGCTATGGTCAGAGAACGTCATATACAACAGCATGCTGGAACATAAGCAGCCCTGCTACGCACTAACAGAGGCCTACTCTGTTTCCATATAGAGGTTACAGACTAACATATTGCACTCATTAACCGGACCTAAGTAGCCTACGTCTTTTACAATTTCACCAGATTTTTAAACATTTCAAAGAATCCGATAGGTTGATGTATTATGGGAAACGTATGATCCCCATGGCTGAAATAGCTTACAGCAATAGGAATTGAATCAAACAGTGTCTCCTCCTCCAGAGAGCTGCATTCTGAAAAGCTTTGCCTCCAACGCCTCAAACCTCCAGAGGCATCTCATGCTCAAACAACTGTTATCGGACACTTAAGACACAATGTGATTGGGAAGGTCAGGACCACACATCAACTATGATGGTTATGGTAAAGACCTATTCAGGGAAAAATAAACAATCCAGCTTCTGTTCTTGTTTGCCTTGCCCCATTCTGTCTCGTCTTCACTGATGTACCTGGCCCATCTCTTTCAATACAAGGTAATGCGTTCTTCCTTCAGCAGCACCAGACAAAACAAACAAAGACAACAAAATAAAGACACTAGACACCATGAACCAGACAGGCCCGGGGGAACACTGAAGAACAGATTAATCAGAGAACAAAGAAAAAAGGAAATGCAACTATATCAGTGGAACCACCTTTTCAAACCGACAGGTTTTCCAACTTGTATTTCTGCTACAAAACGTCTAGCTCAGAAGAGCCAAAGGGTTCAGCAATGGAAGGAAATTCACCATCTCCCCCTCCCCCGTGACAACCTAGGCCCCAGACCTGTCGCAAAAGCTCTGCCTTCTGATTGGAAGCCCCATCAGACACCTGCCTCTAAAAGGCGCTGCATGGTCAATCCGACATCTGCATTGGCCGTTGAGATTTTACAGTGATCTGGCCTTTGCAGAAGTCAGGGCATTCATACTTCTTGCGCTTCGCGGAGCAGCACAGAACTGTTGTGAAGGAAGTTGTCAAGGAAGTGAGTTTGTGTTTATACAGGACCTCCCGCCCCCAACTACCGTCAACCAATCATGTCAATGCGGAGCTATTCAGAGCCCTCCACATTGTTACAGAATTTGAGAGGCACACAGCGATACGGTAAAATCTCATTTTGGCCTCTGCATGCCTCCGGAGGCTCCACAATTGCGTCACACCATCCATACGGCGCTTCCGACCACATTTTCTGATCAACCATAAATTGGCTTTAAAACCACCACAAAATGTCTGCTCTTAAGGCGCCCTTCTCTCAGTCTCCACCAGGGGAGCCACTACACAGAGTCTTCTCATATTGGCTCAAGGTTGTGCTTTGGTTTTGGAGGATATAGCCTAGCATTAGCCTTCTTCACCAGCTGTCCACGGCCACCTCCCCCCAGTCACCTCAGCCACAGAACGGCCCCCACCTCCAGCTATTATCAGAAGCTGAAGAGGACTGGATTTATTGAATCTGCTACAGAGGCCTCTCGTTTCAATGTGTCTTTCAGGATTAGCCTGGCCAATGCCTGTCAGAATAAAGACACCTCAGCCTAGCTGCTAGATTTGAGGGAAGAGGAGAGCCTGATTGACAAACTCAGAGGTTTTTGCCATGACACCCTGCTCTCGTGGCCTGGGTGCATCTCTAGAATCTACAGGGAGCAGCACCGACAGAGAGCATGGAGCTAAGGCTGATAATTCACCTTAGAAAACAACAAGCAATATAAACTTTAAAAGTAACCCAACCAATAGGCTAATTTCTTAAGTCTAAGCAAAAGGATGTGTGAATTGTATATGACCACTGACACTCCAGTGGACAAAGACACAGGTGTCCTTTGTCAGGCATTTGACAATGTCGTGATCGGTCTGTAGAGCAACACTCATAACTCAGTGGTTCTACAGACAAATCTATTCGTATTCTGAGCACTCTCTGACTTGTATCCTATGGGTTATTAGAGAAAGGCCTTGAAGAAATGAAGAGATGCTTTGACTTAGATGTTTTATGAAAAATCACAACCACATAAAAGGCTAAGTCTTCCAACATCAATCAAACAGATGTACATTTTGCTTTTTCAACAGTTACAGGGTAAATTGGGCTTACTCATCTGAGAGACTAGCAGCACCCAAAAGCAAGCTGATAACTGTCAGGCTGAGGCACCCAAAGAAGAAGGATATCTGAGGTATTCAAGGGGTTCCAGAGTTACAGATCCAAGGTCTGTGGTCGACACACACACACACACACATATACATATATATATATGGGAGGAGGGAAACCCTTTTGTATTCCTTCATGGTATCAAGAAACCTTCTCTAACCGTGCTTCTCCATGTCCTCAGTCCTCCCCCTAGTGGGTGAAAAGGGAACTTGCTCATTGGAGAGAGAAGGGAGGGGGAGGGGAGAGCCGTCTGTAGATCTCCGCCATTTCGTAACCAGATTGTTTACTGACACAACGTGGCCAACGCTGCATTTTTCCACTAGATGGGGGACATGGGGCCAGGATTTGCGTGGGTGGGGGGATGGGAGCTCAAAGGCAGATCCACCTATGGGTTCTAATAAAGAATTAGCGCACATGAGAAAAGAGATCAGAATCATTACAAATGTAGGCTACATAATAAAAGCCTGTAAAAAAAAAAATATAACTATACTCAAACAAATTCTGAGATACTGTAAAAAAAAAGACAGGCTTATAAAATGTTAATATCAGTCAGACACTGTCATCTAAAAATTACTGCGCATCTATCTGCCAAGTATTTCTTCCAAAACATCAATCTAACTGCAGTGAGGTCAGTGTGGCCTATAGGCCTTGCTAAATGACCTATCTTGGGTTGTTTCTGAATCCAGACTCCTGAATTAGGCAAGTCTAGCTATTGAAAGGTTGTGTACGATTAGAAAACATCTACTAATACAGTCCTGCATAGTACACAACAATTAAGCCTTCTCCTATTGCAGGTGTTAGACTGTCCATGAGAGCAACACCCTAAAGGAAATAATGTCACTAAGAAAAGCAGCTATTGAGCAATGACACTCAACAAGAGAGATGATCGCCTTTTCTTTCCCCGAAGATGGATTATCTGTGTCATTCAATTCACAACAAGTCGGCAGCATGAACAAACAGTGAGGAGTTTGTATTTACAACAACGTGAAAAATAAACTATTGTTACAAAGCCATTATGAGTGTAAAATGCAGGCACCATCACACTGGATACTGAAGATGGTGGGGGACAGCACTGAGGCTATGGTATTAGAAAGACCTGGGTCCTGAGGCTGACTATCACACAGAATTATCCTGCAGTCATTCCTCTTCCTTCTGTTTCTATCCAGTGTCTTTGACCATATGGGACATTTTCCCTGTGGTGCCTCCTTGGCCCTTTCCTGAAAGAGAGGGTAAGGCTGCAGAGGGAGAAAGAGAGAGGATTGAAAAGAGGATGGGTCTGAGTCCTGGAGTGCCTGCCTGGCAGGAAGGAGAACCATTCGAGATTACCAGGAAGTCCGATCTCTGCCCTGCACGCAGTCATCTCCAGCCTACTGTAGCATGCTCCTTTCCCTTGTGTCAATGATCCAAGCACAGCTAATGAGTCGCTTTCGCACAAGACGCAATCAATCCATGGAGATTTCCCAAACAGCAGGACCAGTGAAACACCCCGGTGAGACTAAGAGATTTTTCTAACCCCTGACCCAGGTGAACACAGTGCATTACTAACCACTTCACCACAGGGTAGTAGAGGTTTGCTTCCATATGAAATGCTGCAATCAATGGTCATAAGGCTGAAAAGTCCTTGATTACTGATCAAGCTCTCTGTTCAAGCCCTCTGTCATGGACTCTGAAGACTGGCTGCACCTTCCAGGGGCCAGAGAACTGCCTCCTCTGAGCAAAGACCAGACCAAGCAACCGATGACAGATAAGCAACCTAAAATGTCAATGGCAGATACAAAAAAGCCACAAAAACATGGAAATACAGAGCAAGTTCAATGTGTCTCGACAGAGGAAGATTAAAAAGCAACCAAGGGGAAAGTGTAGGCTAACGTCTCCTTCCCTGTGATAAATATGCGCTTGCAGCAAGCATCATACCTGCTTTCTCCTGATGGCCTCCATTGAGGAGAGTGGTTGAGAGGGACAGAGAGAGCGAGCGCGTGCAAGAGAGAGAGCGGGAGTCTCGAACGGATTGTTCCTCTTTTCCTTCTCCTCCCCACATGCACACAATCTCGTTGGTCATGTGACCCAGCAGCTCCCTCTGTTGGTCTCTCTCTTCAGAGGGCTTCCACAGAGCATGCTCAGTCAGTTCAAATTTCAGTGGCTCTTTTTTTTTTTCTGTCTCTCTCGCTCGCAACCGGTTTGCTAATGAATGCGCGCAGCCATTTCAGGAACAGCAACAAAAAAAAATAGGAAAGGTAGCTACGCAAGGGGCCAAAGAGGAGAGCTGTGTGTGAGTCAGAACCCTAAAGCCAACATATGCTCTCCTTCACAAGGACAAAGAGCCCCCAATGTAACCAACGTGAGCGACTTTCAACCATCTTACTTCTGTCAAGAGGCATGTCGTCTCCACAGAGCCTCAGGGCAGGAAAAGGAGAAGAGAATACACAATGCTATCAGGCCTAGCCAACTCAACAGATACTGTAACGCACCTGTGATATAGCCTAATGGATGCCCACTTCACTGTATAGGCTAGGAGAGGACATAGAAGGCATCTAGCTCTCACTGTTCTGTGACATGAAGCAGACAGATCTCATGTGAATTCTAATGAACAAAATGAAAGGGCAATGGCCAGGGGGCAATAACAGAAAGGATAGCTTGAGGATGAGGACAACCTCTGAAAAAACGTCAATAGTATGGGCACTGCCGATGATCTGTTGCTACCTTCTGGCGCAACAATTTTTCAGTTTGGGTGTAATTCATAACGCCACAGCTTATTCTAGGATATAATCCAATCCCATTGATTCACACTGCTGGGTAACTGGTCCATCTCTCGAGAGGTGAAATGCATTATCTGTGCATAGTCAGGATATCTCCCTCTTCCTACTCTTGCTTCCTCTCCCCCTCTCTTTCTCCCTTGCTATCTGCACTTCTCCCTCACTGAAGGGTGGGAGGCATCAACACTTCCTCTCTGACTACTGACTTCATTTCTTATCCTCAGGTTGAAAACCACAGGGTAACACCACACAATACCTCCCAGAAGAGCTGGGGAAACTAGCACATTTATCACAATAATACAGGGTCTTCCTCTGATTTGATATGCACACTTGTTTTCCCATCCTCTTTCTCACCCCTCCAGAGTAATGTCTTTTCATTTGTTGTGGTAAATGAAAACACCAGAAGTCCGATCTCTCCAGCCTACTGTAGCCAAGCTGATTTCAAGGGAGGATAACATGGACATATCTTTTTGCTCAGAGTTAGTTTGATAAGGACACTCAAGATCTGGCACATGGGCCTAGTCTTTCAGAATGTCTAAGCGCTATTCTGGGATTCCCTGTTATGAGTGGAGTGGCTCAAATCTTTCTACACATTTTATTAATAACAAACCTCTCTCCAGAACATGTGAAGATAATTAGCCTACATAGGCTGGGAACTCAATGGTGCTCATTGCTTCTGCCCTCTGTGTTCATGCTGCCCTATTGTCATGGAGGTTTCAGGATGTCAACATGGCACCACAAAGCAGAGTGAGAGTCAGTCTACCGAGCATGCTCATTAGAAGGCATCTCAGCCATTTTGAAGCTCTATGAACTAGCCAAGTGGAACGCAGTTGAGTAGGATCTGATAAACCCTGGCAGTCCCTTCCCTCAAAATAGTCACAATCTTCACACATCGCTGAACAAAAAAATCTGTTTCCGTTTTCAGTTTGGACAGGAATCAACTTGTTTTCTTCTACCTCGATAGAGTCGAAGCAGGAAGAGAGCAAGAGGGAGAGAGAAAGAGTGCATGAACAAGAGAGAGAGCAAAAGCATGATGGAGAGAGAGAACGAAAGAGTTCGGAGTGTTACAGGAGCTCCGGACAGAATAGGATCTCTGTCAGCCTACTCCCAGCAGTGTATGCTACTGCACACCCACAGAAAGCAGGGGGCCAACTGCCAATGAGCCATTTAGTCCGCATCTCTTCTGGCTAAGGCCACTACAATGAGTAGAACCTATGCACATGCATGGCAATTGAGGCTACCAGATGTCACTAGTACACTAAAACAAAATAAACTATGTTATAAGCCTTGATGAAAAGGTCTTGACAAATACTCTTCTACATTCTGACAGTTTCCACTGTACTCGTCTGCCATCACATAAGTTATCATATTTTAACACCCCATCTGCAATAGAACATAGCACCATTAGTTGCGGAGGTTAGAGGATTCTCAGGATTACATTCAATGTTCAACATAGTATTTTAGGAGAGCATACAATTCAGCTAGATTTGGAAACATCAATGCTGTTCATTGGGAACAAAGGCCTTTCCCAGATCAGCCCTCATTAATTAAATCAATGAGTCAGAGAGGAACACTGGACTTCCGCTAACCTGTCCCTGCTGAATTGAGCTCCTGGGGTGGATGTGGATTTGAGGCCCCTCTACATGGAGCGTTCAGATGATAGTCCCTCAGTCTTTACCACAGGAATGTGGCTTAGCCATAGCCACATACTAGGCTATAGCCAGCTGATCAAGTCTTGCTGGGGATCTGTTTCTCCTGATTGATACCTGAGCTTTTTTGGTCTACGGGTAAAATACATGGCCCAGTCAGTGGAATGTTGACACAATTAAATCGATTAGCCTAATTAGCCAATTAATTAATCCATCCGTCGCAATTTAATAAAGGAGACTCAATTCCCAAACTGGAATATTTAACAGGACAGAAGTCAGGCAGTGAAAGACAACACGATCCATGTGAGCAAGCTCCATTTGAAGATACATGAAAATTGAGATTTTAATAATGCTGTCCTTTTTTCTTTAAGTTGAGCCCCCAGGCAACCATTGAAGTACCTGGATAAAGCAGTGAGTGTCCATTAATGGGGGAGGGAGAGGGCGAGAGTTGAGCTCCACACTCCAACATCTAGCTTCCCACACATGCACCGTCCCAGCTCAGGTCACATGACCAACTCTCTGTAGAAAGCTCTGACATTGCCCTTACTGGGCATGCTCAGATGGAGCCCTGCTGTTCTTCATGGAGAAGGAAAAGGAAAAAAACATTGCAGCCATTTCGTGAAACAATCTCAAGAGACAACAATGGGTAAACTGTCAAGGGGTCTAACATTTCAGAATGTTAATGTCTAGTCATGAAATCATCAATTTTTACTCAATCAATCAGTGACACGCAATCCAAAATATTATTTTCTGTTAATAATCACATCAACTAAATATTTTCCAGAGGATTTAGGATTAGGATGGCCGAAGAAAAAAATGTGGTTGAATATCAGGGTAACAGTTTCTCTGACCAAGTCTTTCATACTAGGCCTAGCATACATTTGCAGAGATAATAGCCTCTAAAATAGCCTAAATCTTATTCACTTACCTAAAAGAAAGATCTTCTTGGAGGTGTTCCATACTGTAAGAGTAGGATATTACCTTCATTGAAACAAGGACTTCACTTTAACAAAGCACGTCTAAAAGTACAATTATACTACCCTACGTCAATCTACCTTATTACACTACCCTACGTAGCCTAATGCAATAACCACTTTCCAGTCACAAACTTGGACCCCTCCAGGGGCCAAGAAGTTCACAATTCTATATATTTTTTTAAAATCTGGATAAGCTATACTGAGGTAGGCCTAAAACCAAGGAGTCCAGATGGGTCATTGTCGGCTGTTTTGTACAGATTAACATTGTAACTGGATATATCGCCCACCAACCTGAATGGTGTTGATAACTGCCTTATGATCAGTTCCGACTGCATCTAGATCAAATTACATTGATTAAATTGTTTGCATTGCAATGTAAATAATCTGTACAACACAGCTGTATTCACTATCCATTAAATCATTGCACTGCTGCTGGGTTTATTTAATCAAAAAGTAGCCTTACCAAAAATAGGCCTCCCCATTAAATAAGTGTTTCACCGAAACACAAGAATAGGATCTGTGTAGATGATAAGCTGCATACTATTTCATGACCCAAAAACCAGGAAGATTAGGCTTTTTCATCACACAGTCTTCAATTCAAGCAAGATCGAGCACAAGATGCATCCCAGAAATCGCCAAATTGACCCACTCCTTTTGCCACTTGAGATATCAGTGGAAGGCACTTCAACCACCTCACACCTGAATTAGCTAAACCCACACACATCCTACCTGTACATCACAGGGTACAATAGGTTCAGGCTTCACAAAGCTTGTGGCCAGATCGCTAATACAATGATTTATCAGTTGCCTGGCAAATCTATAAGATAGAAGGAAATACTGTGATAACCACAACATGAGTGAATTAATTAATATATAGAGAAATAAAGACCAATGATGTACCCATTCAACCAAAACAGAATCAGACTCTCAATGTAAGGTTGCAGTAATGTATAATGTTTACACCCCCCCCCCCCCCCTCCCTCCCTCCAGCCCAACCCACAGTGCACCATACCTTTGTCTGTCAGCAATAGAGAGGCCGTGCCTTCAAGGAGCCGAGCTGACGCCATAAGAGTCGGTCGTTTCTGTGAAGGCCAAAGAGGCCTAGTTGTCTGCTCTGATCAGTACCCAGTCTATACAGCAGGAGCAGCAGAGCTAAGCTCAGTTCTGAGCATGCTCACTGAGGCCCAATATCTGACAGTCAGAGGGAGAAGGAAGGCTGCAGGGAAGAACTAGCTTTCGTGGCTAACGATGAGCAAGAGGTGAAACTCTCCAGAGGCATCCCTGTTTACCCACACCACCACCAGTCTGACCTTCTTGTATCATCAATACACTTCTCTTTCCCAAATGTTTTACTTCTGTAAAGAAATTATTTGTTGAATAATCATTTTAAGAAGAATCTCTCCACTAATGTTTTCCAATGCTCTCCTCCAAAAATCCTGCAAATGGCCGAAACAACTACCACAGGGCCAAGTTAATTTGGGATACATTAGGTCAGGCTCGCTCTCTTTGACAGTATCTGGCTCTGCCCAATAGAGATCTTTGTCAAACAACAAAACAGCCTCCGGGGCCCTTCTTTTAGGGAGCCACCACCAGGGCCTTTAATGAGAATTTAAGCCTACACACACTCAAAATAGTAACATTCAAAGTAAAGTAGGATAAGGCAACATGTCTAAACAACATTGACAACATCCACTCCTCAGTGTGTTCCCTGCCAAAGCAAACGCCATGGGCATGGCGAGTGGTTATTACTGGCAAGTGTAGAATATTGTATGGATGAAAAAAACGTGTTGCCTATGTGGCTCTGGACCTATAATGAATGGATCTTTGGGTGCAGAAGACAACCTCTAAGGATTTAAAAGCTTCATCCCTGTCAACAAGCCAAATGCATGTTGTCCCACACAAAGTAGACATTCAAGTTCTCAAACAGATGGAGATGGTGCAGAGGGCTGCCTCTGTCAATGGAAGGAAGCTGTAGCTCAGTTGGTAGAGCATGGCGCTT